TAAAATTGTGCAAAAACTTTTGGTCGCGGTAGTTGAATTTTGCTTAAACATATCGACTATGGCTTCATTATTGTACCATAAAAGGGTTTCTCTTTAAATTGGAGCTTTCCGGCATTGTACCGTAAATGTATTTCTTTTGAACGTGTGGCAAAGGTAGTGAAGTTCGATTTTATTGGTGGGGAAGACTGATCATTTGCCAACATTGGCATATTTGAAATCAATGCTAGAAAAAATTAATTTTATATTTAATCATTTTACAGAAAATTAGTGCAAAGGTTATGTGAACACAAATGTGTGTTTCCAGTGCGAAAAATCGTAATTACCGTTATTTAATATTATATTTCTAAAAATATCAAAGTCTGAGAATTTTTTTCATAATTTAAGTCATAAATCAGATTTTCTTATAAGAAAATAGATAACAATTAATTTTTAATTAACAATAATGAGTTTCACAGCAACAAATTGACTTTTCGTTTAAATAACTGCACGTGGGGAACAAGAAGTTGACTTCTGGTAATTTTAATCACAGTTTTAAACTTCGGCTATATGATTGATTTGCGAGATCACACTATAGGTCATATTATTTATCTTTAAAGGAAGTTTAAATACTGATTTTTAAAGGAACGTTTGAATAGCAAGTTAATTTCGTGACTTTACGAAAGGAAGTCTCAGTCTCGCCGAGCCTGCGTGGCCCTAATTAGCATGAGTCGAGCTTGTCGTATAAGCTAGGCTCGTTACTAGAGGGGTTAGCTCTTATTTATTTATAAATTAAGCACTCCTTTATCCAGATTTGGGATTGGCTACTTAAATTTTGAGTGTGCGGAGTTAAAAATTGTATACGAACAACTTGTTTCGTGCAACAAAATAAATTAAAACTAGTATTATAAAGTAAAGAATTTTGATTAATATTTTTAAAATAAATATCACTTACCTAACGACATGCAATTTCGACATATTTATCTTGCAGTCAGAAATGAGCGTCTTCACAATCATTTACGTACCTTAATACTTCCAAAATATCTTCTTTGAGTCGGCTTTTAACCTCGGACAAAACCTTTTTACCTGCACTAAAAGCAGATTCCGAAACTACAGTACTAACATGGGGTGTTAGTAGGTCTTTTACAATCGCAGAAACCACTTGCCATCATCGTTTGTTTTTTGCCAGAGTTCAATTACTTCTTCTGATTTTTTTAATTATTTTGCTATTAGGCATATTATTATTAAAGTAATCAATTAATTCAGCAGGCGATGCATTTGAACCTGTGTTCGGTATTTGATTACATGAGGTAGAAAAATTACTTTTAGATAAACTTATCGCATTTGAATCATATCTATACGTGTCAATGCCTTCAAATAAAGTTAATATTTCAGCATCGTCTTCTTCAATATCAATTGGAGGAGTAGATGCAAAGGGTACCCGATTAATATTTGCACTCATTTGTTCTGCATATAATTCATACATTTTACATAAAATTTGTTCTAAATTTCTATAAGTGATAGATGTATTAAAAAAAGTTAAAACTCTTGAAATCTGGTCAATTATATATTTAATACTTGATAAATTGTATTGAAAGTCCCCGTTGCATGCTAAAGAAAATAATATAGGCAAGTCATCCCAATATTTTCTAAAGTTTAATTTCATGGAATATATAGTTGCACTAAAATCGGGGTCAATTTTGTATTTATAAAAAACCCTTACAATTATGTAAAGACGTTCAAACACCATACAACTAGTCAGATAGTAAACTCCAAATAAAATATTTGTGGAGTCATAAAAACTTGCCAATTTTTTTTTTTTTAATTTTAAAAGCTAACATCCAATCGTGTTCATTCAAAATAGTTTTATCATCGTTTCTAATATGTCTATTGTTATAAAATTCAGTTATTAAATGTTCAAAACCTTCTTATGCTTTTAATAATAAGTAAGTAGAGTTTCATCTATGCCCACGTCACCAACAAATGTTTTTGTATTCGTCACCCTTAATTCTGCACAAAATTCCTCGAAAGCTTGTTTTCTACTAGGTGAAATAGTAATATATACTAATTCATCCCCAATTCTTTGAATTTCATTCTTAATATATTTCAAACCATTTTACACAATTAAATTAAAAATATGGCACACACAACGAATATGAGACAAATAACCATTGAAAACTGGCTGCAATACTCTACACAATTTATCAATAACCATCTTATTAATATTAGCGTTGTCGAATATAAATGAAAAAGAATTTTACTCTCACAATGATATTATCTAATAATGTTCATAATAACGTTATATATATTATTAGCGTTGTGAGGAAATTCAATAATTTTAAAAGCATATTTTTTTTATCCAAACACCAAAGTGGGTCTATGTAGTGTGCAGTTACAGCTATATAAGCTCTTTTATTAATCCACTCCCATATATTCGAAATTAAAGATATAACATCACCATATTTTTGTAAATCGATAATTAATTGTTTCTTTGTATTAAGAAAATATTTAATTGTATTTGAACGAAGAGTGTTTTGACTTATCCCAACGTACCTTGGTTGAAGATATTCTTTCACATACGCGACAAAATGTTGGTTGTCCGTTATTGCTAGAGGTAACTCAGCAGCGACAACGAATTTCACCATTCTTGTTCGAGTTTTTTCTTCGAATATATCCACGTGGAAAGTGACGAAGAAGTAGAACTAACGTCTGGATTACAAAATTGCAGTTGAGTTTGACTGGCAGCAAGAATCCCATATTTGGCTGCACATACTGTGTAGTGACGATTGAGGTAGGTCATACCAATGATTTTTTGCCATGTCAATCGTTGTTGACAATATTTACAAATTGCGTTAGACTCTCCATCGAGCACAAGACCCGTTGGAATCAATTTAAAGTGATCACAACATTTTGCATGTTTTTCTTCTTCGTTTCCCTCCTGTATCGAGAATATTTAATACACGTTCCTCCTATATTCCGCTTCGGGAATATCAACGTTATCCAAGTCAATTGGACAAATCAATTGGATTACTACTTCCATGATCATCCAACTCTGAAATATTTTCAGAAATGGGTATTTCATTCAGACCGAAAAATTCATTTCGAAATTGACTTTGTGCCGTCATAGTGATTCGCCTCCGATATTGAACAAACTCTCAACAAATGAGTATGGATCCATTTGTGAATTATGATGCAATGTATAATAAATAATTAAGTAAATTTTTTTTTTTTTACAAGTAGCTTAATAAAATTTTAGATGCAAGCCTGAATCGAAAATATTTTGGAGAAGAATTTGATTTCACAAAATTGAATACTAGGTGGCATGCAAGTGAGGAAAGAGGTTATCAGTGGTGTCAATAGAAATGGACTAACTCAAATCATGTCCGTCTTGTCATTTTGATTTTTATAGTGGTTCGGAACAACACGTTAATGGCTCGTCATGACCCAGATGCCTATTTCATTACACATACTTGATACTCTCTGTATGAGATATGTATTCAAAACGAGCTTTTGTTGATCCATTTCCACCTCACTCAATTATTTTTATATTCCCAACATCTGACTTAATGGTCGGAATTTAATAATCACTAGACAAGGTAACACACGAGTGAATGGATAATGGTCCACATCCCTTGATTGTAATATCGTACAAATTTTGAGGTCAATTATGTTTTACGGTGTTTTCTAAGCCGGAAATATAAAATTGTTTTAAACAAAGGTTGAACTTCAACCTTCAGGGTCCCCACCGCCCCTTCCCTAAAGCATCGTGGAAGAGCTAAATCACGGAATGTGCATCAGACGACCAGGGTACAAGAGCTGCCATACTAGTGCCCACAAAAAGTCAAATTACATATCTTGTAAGAGGTAGGAATCGAACCCTCACACTGCGATTGTCAGCTTAACTAAGACTACTTCACTCCTGTCTTTTGCATCACTGACCTATGTCCGAGGCATATAAAAGTGTTTTTGGTTCTTTAATTAGTAATTTCACTAATGGAGCAATTTTAATAGTTACATGTCTCGTTGGTTCCACTCTTGCAAGTCACATGCCTCTCTTTCATTGGTTGCTTCTTCAAAATCAAGTTTTAACCGCCCATTACTTTCTAAGCAACTACAAAGAGGACAGCTAAGAAATTTTATTATTAAATCACACTTATGTCTAATGCGTGCTTTTTCCGTTGAAGATTCTCAGCATTGTTCTTTCGGTTATTCAATATTTTGGACGCGCTCTAATTCAATGTAGAAATTTATATTTAAAACATGAAAACTAGAACACGTATCGTGTGAAGGGACAAGTATCCAATGATAAACTTACATGTCTTTTCTACCACTTCAATTTACTCATTTCATTGAATCAAATTATATAGTCTTCGTAAATTCTAAGTAGCATATTAGGAAACTCAAAAACGCGTTTCATGGTAGTGTTATCATCAATGTAATCAACCAATTAACTCCACATAAATTTTGTAGAAACGAACCAAAATCACTCCTCTATTAAGTACAATCCAATATCAACGTCAACCCATAGTTTTTCCTGTAAATCATGTCATCAATACAATTTATTTTTGTCATTTATCTTCTATCTATGTCAATTTCCCCTTAGTAGCATCCTCTTAATGATATAATCTTTGACACAATAATTGACATAACGCCACATAACATTTGACTTTTTCGTTCAATTATATCTTGTCAACTAACATTATGTTAATCCATCTGTCAATTAATTTTCACTTTATGTGAAAGCGGCATAACCCATTTTTGTACCCACTAATTAAATTGGAAGTAACGGAGAGTCGGGGTCGGACCAAAACTGCTACCAACAAAAAAAATGTTTACACTATAAATACATGGATCATATGGATATAGTTGAACATTGCTAGCTTCCTCCCCTACACCAATGAAGAGTACCATATACATTTCTCTCTTTCTAATTGAAATCTAGTCTGTTTTGTCAAGTTATCCCTGTTCTTGAACAAATATAGCAAACTCTATCTGTTTACAGTACAGATCAAATTAATTCAAACATGGCAGTTAATATAACCTCCATCAAAACCTCATCAAATGGAGTTTGGGAAGGTGATAACCCTTTGGACTATGCGTTTCCTTTACTCATTCTCCAAACTACCCTAATCCTCGTCCTCAGTCGCCTCCTCGCCTTCCTATTCAAACCCCTCCGCCAACCTAAAGTCATTGCCGAGATAGTTGTATGTTATCTTCTTTTTGCACGATACTGATATTCTGTTGGATGATACTGATCACATCGATGATGCTATGTTAGTAGAATATTATCATCAAGTATTTTGATGAAAGAAAAGCAAATAAATAAATAATAAAGAGCAATTTTGTTTTATCATTTCAAGATTTAATGATTTTTTAATGTTGAATTTACTTTACAGGGTGGGATCCTTCTGGGACCTTCGGCTTTTGGCCGAAACCAAGAATACATGCACAGAATATTCCCAAATTGGAGCACTCCAATTCTTGAATCCGTTGCAAGTATTGGCCTATTGTTCTTCCTTTTCTTGGTGGGCCTTGAACTTGATTTGAATTCCATTCGCCGGACAGGTAAACGAGCTTTTGTTATAGCGGCTGCCGGAATTTCAATGCCGTTCATCCTCGGCGTCGGAATAGCTTACGTTTTCCGTAAAGCCGTCGACGGAGCAGACAAAGTTGGGTACATTCAGTACGTAGTCTTCATGGGAGTGGCTCTCTCTATTACTGCTTTCCCAGTTCTTGCTCGGATCCTGGCGGAGCTGAAACTCCTCACCACCCGCGTCGGTGAAACCGCCATGGCTGCGGCAGCGTTTAACGACTTGGTAGCTTGGATTTTACTAGCCCTCGCCATTGCTCTGGCAGGTAACGGCGGCGATGGCCCCCACAAAAGTCCACTGATTTCCATATGGGTTTTGTTATCTGGCGTTGCATTTGTTGCTTTCATGATGGTGGCTATCAAGCCTGCCATGACCTGGGTGGCGAGGCGGTGTTCTCCGGAGCAAGACACGGTGGACGAGGCGTATATATGTTTAACATTGGGCGGTGTACTGGTGGCGGGTTTTGTTACTGACTTCATCGGTATACATGCCATATTTGGTGCATTTGTTTTCGGATTGACGATACCTAAAGGAGGAGATTTTGCTGAGAAATTAATCGAAAGGATTGAGGATTTCGTGTCGGGATTGTTGCTGCCTCTGTATTTTGCTTCGAGTGGACTAAAAACAGACGTAGCAAAAATTAAGGGTGGCAAGGCGTGGGGGTTACTGGTGCTGGTGATAACTACCGCCTGCACCGGAAAAATTGTAGGGACATTTACGGTGGCGATGATGTGTATGATTCCGGCCAGAGAGTCTATTACACTTGGAGTTCTGATGAATACAAAAGGACTCGTAGAGCTAATTGTTCTCAATATTGGCAAGGAGAAGAAGGTCAGTGCAATTAGCACTCATATTTTTTCAGTAAAAGAATTTATTTTTTATTTTTTGAAATATTTTTTCTGTGGTAAGTTTTTTAATAAAGTAAAAATATAAAATGAACCATGTCACAGGTAATGAAATTCTATTGGATTATGCAGAGAGAAAGATTGACTAAGTCAAGACCTCAGGCCATCAACAGTTATTAACTTGGCTCTAAAAGTTGAAATTCATTTCTCAAAACAATCGATTTTCTTTATCAAGAATTCACTTTTCCTTTTAGAGTCACTTTTATGCATTTGAGTAGAAGCCAAGCATGTTTAGGATCTGTTTGGCTGAACTTTCGAAAAATTGGAAGTTATTTCTTCAACGGAATTTTGAAAAGCGAATAGTTATTTCTGAAATTAGAAAAATTGACTTTGGACATGTTTTATTATAAGAACTTTTAGATGAAGTTGTCCAAAAAAACGAAATCTAATCAAAGCTCCGAAAACAGCCCGGAGTATGTTAGGCTTGTTTGTTATCTAGTTTTTAGTCACTTCTCATTTGAGTGAGTAATTTGTTTACTTATGCAGGTTCTAAATGACGAGGCATTTGCTATACTAGTTCTCATGGCACTATTTACCACCTTCGTTACAACTCCAACAGTTATGGCAATCTACAAGCCAGCACGAGGTTTCTCCGCCAGGGGGGGCCGTCGATTGCAGTCTGCTTCGGACAACATCAAAGACGAACTCCGAGTACTCGCTTGTGTCCATGGCCCTGGCAACATTCCCTCACTCATCAACCTCATTGAGTCAACTCGGTCCACCAACAAGGCGTCCAAGCTCAAACTCTATATAATGCACCTAGTCGAGCTCACCGAACGATCCTCCTCTATCATTATGGTCCAACGTTTGAGAAAAAATGGGTTTCCATTCATCAACCGCCTGCGTCGAAGTGGGTTCCACGATCGGGTTGCGGTGACATTCCAAGCTTATGGGCAACTCGGACAAGTCAATGTTCGGCCTACTACTGCCGTTTCACCATTGCCAACTATGCATGAAGACATATGCCACGTGGCAGAAGATAAATCAGTGACTATGATCATCTTGCCCTTTCACAAGCAATGGAGGAGAATCAACGATCATGAAGAAGTTGAAAATGTGGGCTATGGATGGAGAGGGGTCAATCAAAAAGTGTTGAAGGAGGCACCGTGTTCGGTGGCGGTGCTTGTAGACCGTGGATACGGCGGAGGAGCTCAAATGACACCGGGTCCCCCTTCCACAACGGTGCAAAAAGTTTGCATTATATTCTTTGGCGGGCCAGATGATAGAGAAGCATTGGAATTGGGAGGCAGAATGGCGGAGCATCCTGCGGTGAATGTAACTGTTATAACATTTGTTCAAAAGAATGAAATGGACGGCCTTGATCTCGTGCTACGTCCATCACCTAATAAATGTCGAGAAAGTAGTTACACCTTCACAACTGCAATCACCAATCCTAAAAATGAAAAGGTAAACTTTTTTTTTTTTTTTCATTTTTTTAATAATCTGATTATTTATTTGATCAATTGAATAATTGATTGATTCTATTTTGTTTTGTTTTGAAATTAGGAGCACGATGTGGCTACAGTTGCAGAATTTAAGATGAGATGGGAAGGTATGGTGCAATTCGTAGAAAAAACAGGAAGCAATATAGTTGAACAAGTTTTAGCAATTGCAAAAAGTGGAGAATATGACCTAATTGTAGTTGGCAAAGGTCGTTGTCCTTCTACTATGGTGGCATCCCTAGCAGAGCGACATGCTGAACATCCAGAGTTAGGGCCTATAGGCGATGTGTTGGCCTCAGCAGGCCAAGGGATAATGTCCTCAGTGCTTGTGATACAACAACATGATATGGCTCATTCTGAAGAGCTTCCGGTGTCAAAGACCACTCGTGAAGAGGTTGATAATGAGAGAGATGGTGAGCCATCAAGTTTGGTATAGAAGTTATTCCAAGATGAATTTTATGAAATCTGAAATAATATATGTGTGTAGATAAGTGGGAATGGTGCATATAGTTAAAGCATTGTATGTTATTTCATAAATTGTAATATAGCATTTTGTGTTGTGGGTAGATATCCCTTAACAACTATCTAAAGTTGCAGAATTATGAAAGAACAAATCATTACCATTTATAGTGGGCTTTGGGATACACTCGCGGATTTAAGTAAAAATGAAAAACCTCAAATTACATCCCTCCTACATAATTACCCTTCATTCCACAATATGTCGCTCAAAATCTACATACTGATTTCAATATTATCACCAATTGGCTAATTGTAGTAATCCATTGTAAAACTCTTTTCGAATAAAAGCATGTTATAATATTTTTCAATTCGCAGAACCAAAATCTAATTGTTTACATTTTGCCGGAGGCATAACTCATTGCAGGTAAAAAATTATGTTTGATAAAGAATTAGAGAAAAGAATGCAAAAAAAAAAAAATGACAAAAATCCAAAGTACGAGGACTAAATTGGTTATTGGATGCAAAATTTAGAAATCAAATTTCATATTTTGGAAAGTGAAGGACTTGAAGGAGAATATAGACACAAAAATTCAGCTTTGAATTGGATGCCCAAATTAAACACACATGTATACATACATGCACATGGGAGAGGAAGGAAAAACAACGGCTAGGAAGAGAGAAAAGAGGTGAGGAAAAACAAAAGACAGAAAAGAGAGGAGAAAAAGAGAAATTGGCGGTTGCTGGAAAGAGAGAGAGAGAGAGAGAGAAAAAAGGGGAGAAAAAAGTGAGAAAAGAGAGAGGAAGTAAAAAACGGCGGCTATATAGAAAAGGGAAGTGCTACATGTACTCACCCATGTAGTACATGGGTGAGTACATCTAGATTAATCCACATAGAAGGGAGACGCACAGAAAAGAGGAAGAGGCTGCTTAAAAAAGGGATTATTTATATATGCACAGGCTGCTGCTGAAGGATATATATATATATATATATACACACACAGAAAACATACACGTATATGCACAAAAAGGAAAGGAAAAAAAAAATTGGGTGAGTGCGAAAGAATATACATACACAAGAAACGATTGCAAGGAAGATTTATTCAAATAATCCGG